GTTCTTTTTTTTCTGTGCCTAGATTAAGTTTCTGTTTTGCTGAGTCCCTCTGTTCTCACCCTCCCCTTCTCTGCCTTGCTCTGCCTTGGGTCAGTTGCTTGCAGAAGCAGAACTGTTTTTTCCTGGAATCGTTCAGCAAGCCGACCTATTTCAAAAAGCTGACCTAACTAATTGCTCTCACAAGTGGTAACCGTTTTTTTCTCTGACCTTTAAAAGGTCTTAATGTCGAGTTACGGGTCTTTCTCATGCAAACTGTGCTCGTAGCAATTAGCCACCTGGGGTCACCGTTCCTTCCAGTACGATTGACTGTACATTGCATGTTCATGCTAGGATAAAAACTCACCATTTCTAATAAAATCTTAGTGGTTATTATCCACCTACACTGAGATTTGCTGCTTGAAAGCAAATGGCTGCGTGAAAGAGGGAGCGCGTCTCAGCTCACCTGCTGGAAAAGGACCTTTTTTTTTTTCAGCAAAAAGAAAAAATCAGTTTGTTGACAAGCTCTGTCTGCAGTCCCAGTTGCTGCCCTCTGCTCAGAGTTTGCAATCATTAATTGACTGGCAGGATTTTGAATAGCTGAGAGGCAGATTGAGCTGAAGGGCTGCAGAAAAGGTCCCCCATCTCTGTCTCTATCGTGCAAATAGCTATGAAATTAAATAGTTTGGCCAGGCAAGAAACAGAAGGAGATGTTGGGGAGTAAATCCCTGAAACTCCAAAGAACAGACCCCAGGTTTAGCAGGGGAAGGACAAATTGTGATAAATATTCTGGAATTTCTTGCTGTGTAATGTAACAAATACGTCTGACCGACCCAGATTGTTGCAGTTCTGCATATGCAGTTGCTTATCTCCAGGTATCTTGGAAAAGGGTGAAGAATTGGGCTCTATGACTTTCAGACAGATGTTTCAGGAGCAAATATCTTCAAGTCCTTCAGTGGGCTTCGGCATGAGTGTTTCCTCTTGTCCTATTAAATATGGAATATGTTTTGGTGCTAAAGCAAAGGTAGTAAATATCTGTGGAGCATCGAGCAACCCCTGGCCTAGAAAAGCATTTTATCCACAACAGTTGCTCGAGAAGTCTTAATTGTTCTCTGTGCCCTGTTGCATCTGGGTTTGGGCTGTAACCTCCTGGCCAAAGCCTCGTTGCCAACAGACCCTCCAAGAGGACCTCCATCAGTGCAGATGCACAAAAGCTTTCATGAAAAGGGCAGAGGGAGATTTATCAGGAGAGAGACAACAGGGGCTGTAGCATCTCTTCTGTCTGCTGCTCTCATGAGCACTGCGTTGAAGTCTTGTTTGCACCTTTCCATGTGCTGGAGGAGAAGATGCACGTTTGTGCAACCTCTCACAGATGTGGCATCTTCACTCACCCGCCCCAAAAAGGTCTGTTTTGGGGCTCACTCAAAAGAAGCTCCTTTGTGTCAGCTGCCTTTCACAGGGCCATCACCCTTACAGGTGTGAGGACAGGAGAGTCTCTAATTGTGAGGAACAGAGACACTAACACAGCATCCTCTGCGACTGGCTAGGACTGAGGGACGCAGCCGTAAAGGAATTTAAAAATGTATCACATCTATTTCCTAGAATGCCTGTTGGGAAGATTTCATTTGTTAAGGGTTTATAAAGGAGAAGTAAATGTCCAGCAGGTAATAATCATGATACAACACCACACATAGTTTAAATCTTTTCTTCTGTAGTTTATCCCAACTAATCCTCTAGGTACTAACTGACAATAATTTCTGTGGAAATGACTGAAGAAAAACGACATAAAGTGAGATACTTCCTTGATCATTTCCAGTTTTCCACTGACATCGTTGGAACAAATTTCACTGAAGCATGGCAAAGCCAGACAAATTAGGAACAAGAGGAACCCTTTCCAAACCTGCCAGACTCATCCTCACAGGTTGTTTTGATCAAACTGTCCATCCTTCAGAAGCTCAGCTGTCACTCAGAGAAACCGCAAACATGCGTACATCAAAAAAAACGAATGGAGTGTGGCTTTATCATCATTAGCAGAAGACATCCAGAAAGCCGCAATGACACCCCACAGGACCTTCTCTTTGTAGGTAGAGCCCGCAGAGGGGGTCTGAGGTCCATTGTCATACCCCAGACAACAATTTTACAGCGATGGTCCCTCTCAAATGCCTGTCCAGCTACAGATTTGGGATTGAGTGGCTGCATAAACACCTTAAAAATCTTGCCCCCTTCTACTGACCTCAGCTGTAGTGGAACAGCTCTGGAGTCAGTAGCTCTGATGTGTCAAACCACTTCCTACACACGACGGCATGCTCCGCCACACTGAGCATTGAGTTTGATTTCCTGGATAACAGCTACTAATACCTGAAGAGAGAGCAGCCTTTATTCTCTCTCGCGGCGTCAACCAGCGAAACAACGATTTGCTGACCAAAGAGCAAAGTCCTTGTCACACAGGCAGGGCGACACTCCCCATCGGCTTACCCAGGCAGTAGACGGCCCCTTGGCTTGGTCAGTGCCAACCCATCGCTTCTGAGAAACTTCATCATCCTCGGTGTTGCGGAGAAAAGATGTGAACAAGTCCCATGGAGCTCAAGTGCCTTTTGATGTGGCTCTTGTTTGGATCCGTCAAGGGGAACAAGCCAGGTAAAAGACTATTTCTGCCTTTTGGGGAGGGAAAATACAATTTGCTTTTTTGTGGTGGCTGCTGGAGGATGTTCACAACATCCTGACTCCTTTCACGTAAGGAAAGATGTTAAAAGCTTAAGGAATTTGTGACTCTAAGGAAATGAGAGAAATGTGCCCACAAACCATCAACTGCAGACAATCCAGAGTACTACAGGATATTTTTTGTCTGAGTAATGCATATATCCTCCAACCCATCATTGGAAAAGTGGGCAGATCAAAGCAGCCTTGTGCACCTTCGGTAGTTCTTTGAATTTGTTTTTTCCATTTTGAATTTAACTTTAGGAAATATAAAAATAGACACCGAAATGTCAGTACCTCTGCCGATAAAATTGATGTCAATGCTATTAGTCAAAAGTTGCCATCCGAGTCCGCTATGGGTACTATAGATACCAAATATTCTTTCAGCCATCCCTCCGAACCAGTAGTGCCTATAAACTGTGAACGGAGGCAGCTAATTCATTCAGCATAATTTTACACATTTATAAATTGTGATACTGCTTATATTTGGCTTATTTATGCCGACAAGTGTGTGCACTGAGAAATGGTCGGGTGATATATTAGCGTATTTGAATTTAAACTGCTTTGTTCGGGGGCTGTCTCTT